GACATAAACATTAAAAAGGGACTGTACTTAAGAAGTATTTGTATGTCATGAATTATATTATTGCATTTGGCCGCAGCCCTCAGATATATTTTCATTTTGGAGAAAAGGTTTGTGCAGCCTTGATATATGTATATAAACTGAAACAGTTAGACTAGTGCATCCTAAATTTAATAACAATTAATTATTTTAATATAATTATTTTAATACAATATAGTCATTTCTGCATTTTTTGGGGAGGTCACCTCCTAATAAATGTCATTACAGAAAATCTAACTGCTCATTTTAAATCAATACTTTTATTTTAATAAGTACAAAAAATATCAGATACTTTAAGACTTTTACTCAAGTAATATTCCTAAAGTAGACTTTAACTTTTACAAAAGTTTTTTTTTTGGTAAGATACTTGTATTTTTTCCCAAGTATCACTTTGTGGTACTTTATACAACACAGGAGACAGAATAGTAGCCAAAGTAGCAAGACTTTAGCTAAAACTAAAAGTAGCAAAAGCCAAGCTAAAAGCTAACATTTCAGAACTGTAGCTAAAATCCAAACGTAGCATAAGATGACAAAAACACAGCACGTATACTGAATCAGATTTCGAACAAAATAATGTTTTTGAAGGAATTGAGGAGACTTGGATGTACTGGAAAATGTTTTTAAATAAAATCTAATATTTTGACGAGTATAAAAATCATAGCAATGACTTGAATAACCATGTTGAACTGTGAAAGGTTACAATAGCACTAAATATACAGACGTAGTTAAATCAATCAATTAAATGAATCAGCATTCACAACAAAAGCTTTTTTTGTTTTACTCATTTATAAGCACACCAGCTGCGCATTTACTGAAAACCAAAAAAATAAAAAATAAAAATAAAATCAATATAAGCAACATCCTCTGATTTATGGATTTATTAGTTTGGAATTAATTTTTTTGTTTGTAAACTTCTTCAGACAAACATTTACAGTAACAAAGGTCCATGCTGAATCTCTCCTCTTCAGTTTTCAGCTAACAGATAACTTTCCTTCCTGCAAACCCCTCAACCTGAAATGTATGAGTGGTTTGTTTATAAAGTGTAGATGATTTGAACGTCACAAACCTGTCCAAAGTTCAGAGGCTAAGTGAGGAGCCATGGGTGCTGCCATCATCACCAGGACGGCCAGAGCTTCCTCAAACTCCACACTGTGTTGCAGCATTCTCACTGTGGCAGTCTGAATACACACAGAAAAAAAAAAATTCAAGAGTGTTTTAAGCATCAAGTCAGATTTATTTCATCTTAAGCTATTAGAGGTTTCACTCACGTTCAGCGTGTTGGAGAGACTCATCAGTTGAGAAATGGCTGCGTTGAAAACAAAGTTGTCAGTGAAGAGATGGGTCACCTAAACGTATTGAAACAGTCAAAATGAGTGAACTGAGCCTGATGAGTTATAATTTCTTCTTTTTTAATGTGTCACATTGTATTTTCCAGCCTATACAGTAAGTTGCATTTTAAATAGTTTCGCTGGTCCTACGTCTTATAGTTACGTGCAAATTATATACAATGTTTCCTTTTTATGATGCAGTTTTTGACAGATAATTATACTCCGGAAAATACGGTATTTCTCAGTTAGCCCTTCACAAATATAAAAAAAATGAAAGTAACGGTCCTTGAATAAATGCACATCACCTGCCACCTTGCATCCAAACAAACTTGAATAAAGATTTTATTAGGGGTGCAGAGATAAATCGGCATGATTTCTTTAATTTTGGGAGATCGGCCGACACTGACATGAGCAGCTGATCTTAGCCACCAATCTTATCAACCTCCGTAAAGGTCTGAAAATCAGTCACTGACCCCTTTTTGTTCTGCTGTGAGCACTACTCACTACCCAGATCAGTGTGTGTATTTAAGAGAATGATAAAGGTTAATTTGTTGGAGAAATATGTATGGGTATAACGTACAAAT